AAAACCATGGGAACCATTGTAATGTGGAAAAAGCCGCTGCTGTAGAGACCTTTCCATGGCAGTACCATGCGAATCTCAACAGATTTTCCGTTGAGGCAGCAACAGAATCAGGCACAATTGGTGCTGGCAGCTGTGTCGTGGGAATGTAGGCATGGTTTGGAATGAGAAGTTAGGTGCAAACATCCATGTCAATGTCTACACCTTCAAAATACAGGTGCCACCCATGTAGTGCAATGATGGCTGATGCTGCTTTGGGAATTGCTTGGTGGAAGCAACACTCAATGTAAGTGTGGCTGTGGCACTTGGGCACTTCGAATGCCGTACTGCTGCGTCTGTGCCTGCGCTTGTGGCCTCGATCGGGGCAAGGGGCAGACGCTGCATGTCACATCATGGTCCAGTGTGTCTAAACCAACCTTCCGAATATGGTTGCCCAGCACTGTCTCTGCGAACAATGCCAGCCTATGGGCGATTTCGTGCCACAGCTCAATTCTACTTAGACCCAAAATTAGACTCCCATTCGGAGCCCGACGCTGTACAATCTGAAATCCAAAAAGTCTGCAGCCGAACTCTTCTTATTGCGCTCGCAGTGGTCCCATGTAGGCATAGGTCGTCCTTCCACGGCTGTCACGCAGGGAGGGGTCTGCTCCGAAGCAGAGGAGCAAGCGAACCATGTGCCAATCTCTCTCTTTTGCGGCCAGATGGAGCGGATAAGTTCGGCACAGCCCCCAACAGGACTTCTTTGCCACGTTGACATCGAAGCTGTCGCTGCGAATGTCATGGTTTTGCAGGAACTTGTCCACTTGAGCCTTGGCCTTCTGGAGGTTTGACTGCTGCAAAAGGGTTTGTTGATACGTTCTGCTCCTTTCTTGCTCTTTCCGCCCTTGCCACCCGGCCAGTCGCTCCGCGCTGCACTGCACTGTTTCGTCTTCTTCCAGCACCTTGCAGCGCCCGCCGCGTTGATAGAAAACTTGATTGGGCAAGGGCATAAGGAAGGTTAGGACTAAGGGAGCCAGACAGCTTCGCAGAAGATTTCAGGTTTTCTGTTGCGGCACACGTTCAAGAACTTCATTCTGGGCTTCTTGATCGCGCACGATAGATGCGCCACACCATCTGGAACAACACGATGATATCCCCTCCCTGCGACATGTGCCCTTACGAATGACGCCCAGCGCGACAAGAGCACTCTAGGGCCAGATTGCGTCGCTTCACCGGGATCCGGGCTGGCAGCTGAAAGCATCGTAAGAGCCTCCCATGAGCATCTCAACCTGCCCAGTCAGCGTAATTCTTTATTGAACAAATAAACAAACAAAAGGTCCATTATTTGGTACTCCATTAATAAAATAAAATAATCACGATAATATGTTCCTACTTTGATAAGACGTTGGATCACAGAAGAACCTAGCTGAAGCATATTTCGCGGCAGATTGCTGCGCGGGGTTCGATCCGCCGAAAGACCGAGAATGCTGAGTAGAACAACATGTCACCTCACCCATACCAAAAGGCAGCGAATGCAGAAAAGGCCACTGGAGATTGCCATACTTAGCTTAGGCATCCCTGCACAGCATTCAGAAGAGTTGCGAGGACGGTACGACTAAGTCCGATGGAACTCAATAAAAGCGGAGTCTCGGCAGCGGTTGAACCTCAGATTGTGAGACTTTGTGAAGTTCCTTGAAGTCAGAGACTCCAATACCCCTTAATTAAGGAATATACCTTAGATTACAGTAGGATCCCTAATAAGGTTTAAGGTATATTCTTTAATTAAGGGGTATTGGAGTCTCTGGGAAGTCAGAGCCTGTTTGAGGCTGACCGCTTCGACATGTCGCCACCCGCCTCAGCACGCGTCAAGGCCTCTCCCCACTGCTGCATCGTCGCATAGGCCTCTGTAGCTCAAGGCCCATGGGTTTCAGGTTTAAGGGTTCAGGGTACAGAGAGCTCAGAATGAGGCGATAAGTACCCTTCTTCAGTGATCCTGATGAGTAGGGCAGACCTAGAGCTGCGGATCTGCCGACAGTGAAGCCACCGACAGATCCCGAGATCCTTTATACCCTCGCCATCTGCAATTCTTATCATCTCGTCATACTTCTTCAGATCATCTTTACAGCCGCTACCAACCCGACAGCCCTAAAACTGCTCCGTCTCCTGCCTTTCTCCTCTTTTCTTAAAGCCCAGACGTATAAACTACTTCTCCCCTTTGTCTCACCTCTTCTCACAGAAGACAATGGGCACCCCAAACAAGCACCTCACCAAACCCATCACATAAGGTTGCGTATATCCCTTGATCCCTTCTTAAGTAATCCACCAAAGTCAGGATATCATGCCTACTTGCCAAACCCTATACCCCAAACCCGCAACCCCGAAACCCCGAAACCCAAAACCCCAAAACCCCAAAACCCTTCAACCCCAAAAAATAAACCCCAAACCCGAAACCCCAAACCCTAAACCCTAAACCCCAAAAACCCAAAACCCCAAAACCCCAAAAACCCTTCAAACCCCCAAAAATCCTAAACCCCAAACTCTAAACCCCCAAATCCCAAACCCTAAACCCCTAAACCCCTAAACCACTAAACACCAAACCAAAAACCCCAAACACCGAACCCTAAAACCCTAAACCACTAAACCCCAAACCCTGAACCCCAAACTCTAAACCCCTAAACCCCCAAAACCCCTAAACCCCTAGACCCCTAAACCCAAAACCCTAAACCCCAAACTCTAAACCCCTAGACCCCTAAACCCAAAACCCCCCCAAAAATCCCTCGCGGCGCTTCGCCTCAGCCCGAAGGGTCCCGGACTCGGTCGCGTCGCCCGCGCCCTCGGCCTCCTGCGCTAGCCTCGAGGACGGTTTGAAAAAGAGGGTTTAGGGTTTAGGG